GTCGATAATCACCCTTTCTTCCATATTTGAGAGCTTTTTCGAATTCGGGACACAATCGCTTCGTGCAGTCATTCCGTTGCGGCGGTCACGTAAGGTACTCCACGGGACGTTGTAAGCTTTTGCAGCTTCTCGAATTGATTGAACTTGGTCTTGTTCGATAGTCTGGATGGCTAGGTTCATTCTAGCTTCATTTGAAGGTAATTAAGGGCTCTGTTGTTGAGACATTGCGAAAAAATCGTGATGATCGCTGTTACGGAGATGAAGTGGGCGACTCGGTGGTTTGGGCGACTCGCTGGTGGATTACGTTAGTTAATTACAGCCGTAGTTACTGAGTACCGTGTGACAATCAAACAAAAATAAACCCTAGATTTTGCCCAAAGCTACTTCAGTGCTCCGTAGTCCGTAGATAATCCGATTAGCCTCGCTTGATCGATGAGACTTATCTTGATTTATTTCTTTCACGTGGCAATTAAGTAATCTAGAACCCTAGCTGGGGCAACAGAGGGATGCGCAGGCGGTCCAGCAGCAGCACACGCAGAAACGAGCCTGTAGAGGAGAAAGTGCAATCGAGAGCATTCCGTATTATTGAGCTTAGTATTATTACCGCATTTGTCTATAAAGTTCACTGCAGCCAATCACACCGCCTCAAATCCCAACGAGACGTTCCTCCTCCGCGAATCAGAACCACCGTCGTTATCTCTAATTGTCATCTTGTCACGCAATCGCTAGAGATATATTCATCAGCCTTCTTCAATGCGCCCGTGGAGTCATCGTGACATATCGGAACTGGTTCAGCAAGGCATTGTCCATGTGTATCTTCTTGAAATAAACTGCATGTTCAACGAGGGCCGCTCCAGCGCGTCTGCAGTCAGATCAGAAGGGTGATCGTCCAAAGCAAACGGGAAAAGATCGGTATAAACAAACTTCCCGATGATTATTCCATGCTCCCCACCACATTCCTCCTAGACATTAAAACGAGAACGTCTCATCTAGCGGGCATCGCGCCCAAATTGCCAAGAGACACCAGTGCAGATATCTCCGGATCCAGCCCGTGGCTTGACCAGTGTGACGCGGAGAGAGACCTCCAGTCCTCTCGAACGACCAGCCGCAGGCATCGGTCACTATCCTGCGCCCGTTCGTGACCGGCAGCATTAGCTGAGAGATCCAACCACATCCCACGCCCGTCGTCCCGAATTCCCTGTGGTTGCGTCATACACCAACATGATAGGACAGACCTGTATATAAAGGAGGGCGGGCCCTGTCCAAGAACGCTGATGGTCGGACTACTTACTTGAATTGTTCACATCCAAGCCTAGTACTTGATTCGTGTAATCAACATATCTCACGCTCATATCCGTATTGTACGAAACGAAGATCAGAATGCCTGAACAACAACCTCCAATCGTCTCCACCGGCCGCGGCGGTATGTGATATCGACTGTCCAAAATCACCCCACTATTATGTGGAGGGGTACAGCCATCGCCGATACTGATCGCGCATATCTCTACAGGTTCTGGTAACATTGGTCGCGACCCAACCGTGTAAGTCCCTCTCCCGCTTCCCCAAACAATCAAATTTCCTCTAATATCTCATCTCAGCTACGCCGACGGCGGTATCGTTCGTGAAGGCCACCCCGGCGTGTCCGAGACGGGAGAATACTCCTCTGGCGTACGTGTTACCAGATAGGCAAAGTCGCGGAGCAGGCAGCTGACCTTGCCCAACAGCGAGGCGGCGCCGGCAACATCGTGCATTCCCCCAAGGTCGTCCCAGTCGGGAAGGCCGGCGAGGACTTCGTCCCTGAGATAGACACGATTCCCGCGGGACATCAGCCGGACTTCCATACTGGCGTATGCTTCCTTCTTTCACCACGCTCCATCCAACCGCCCCGCTTCTAGCTTGAGCAAGGCAGGTTGGATCGATTGGCGATGACTGTTACTGACTGAAATTCTCCAGCGCGGCGGAGATGGCAACGTCCATCGGGAGAAGTACGGTGGTCACTCGCATGCGCCTGGACAGGGGTTTGGTGATCGGGTGAAGGCAGTGCTGGGGTTGGATAAGCATAAGGAGAAGAAGGAGGAGAAGAAAGATGGGCCGGCTTCTTAGTCTATGGAGAGAGTATTTGGGTGCTTGGGATGATCGTCCGGCCAGCGATCGACTGGAGGATAGCGTGGGATTTTATGGTGATACCACGATCGATTGTTCGTTTTCGAATTGCGTTACTTAGCTGAGTTTCTTAGTATGAACTGAATCAACTGTTAACACTCCTCTGGACACTATTGTGTGGCATACCAACACTGGCTTGATGTGGCGTCGAGGCCCAGAACCTCCTCTCTGACTGACAAAGAATCGCACTATAACCCTGGTCTTCTTCCTCCAGCTACGCCGCTGGTGTCCCCTGGGCGGGTTTTCTAGTCTGTGTCGGAAGTTCCCTCGTCAATCCGATTGGAGAGGTTAGCGTTCGCTGTCGAGTAAGGTACGCTTCGAACTCACTAGTCCAATTGCTCTCATAGGTAAATTAGCAATAAGGAGGAAGATAGTCTCACTAAACATCTACAAGATCATGTGTCACCTCAAATAGCTCGTAAATTCTCAAAAGTCTTTGCGGTAGCCCTCTCGGTCATATCACGTCTGTTATATGGGGTAATTACTCGTGGTAGCAACAATGCTCCCGGGTACACACGTTCCACCAACGTCTGATCTGCGGAACTTGGTCATCCACGCCGGGTATTTGACTGCCTCGAGTATGGCATGGCACCAGACTCCAGAGCCGCATCCCCTTCACACACTCGAACGAGCGATGCTTCAGTGGCACTCATGACCTATTCGCCATTCAGCCGTCAGCTTAACATCATCAGCCCCACTGGTGCGATCGATTTGACCCTCAGACCGCCAAATCGATTCGATCTCCGGATTTTTCACGAAGAAATGTTCCGAATCGAGAGAATGTGACCGAAGAGTAAAGGAACTAGTGGGGGGCGATATGGTCCAAGTGCAAATCCAAGGGATCTACAGCTACACCGTGTACGCAGACTCGACGTTTCAATTTGTTGTCCAATTTAGACTCAAGTCCCCGGAGTTGAAATTGAAGATAGCAGCATTAGCCCGAGACATATATGGTGCCGTTGCCCTGAGCATACAGTGCCATGGACTTTCTGCAGAGTATAAAGCACAATTGCTGTGTCAATATGCAAGAGAATTACAAGCACATCCCTCCACTCTTCCCCAGCGGCTGCATCCTGGAATCCGATCATGTCCCAACCAGTTAGGTGATGTTGGGTCTGCTTCGGTCACAAGGATTCACATTGAGGTTAGAGGTCAAGGAGCCGCCCAAGGTTATTCTACAGGATGAAGATTTCGGGCAGTGCAATATGTTTTCCTTGGATGGATTTCTAGTCAATCCAAGAGCAAAATTCAATCATATCGAAAGAACATCTTCAGATCAGTAGAGACAATGGACGTCATCGTGAAGGTGGAAGCACGGCCGAGCGTTTTCGAAGTTGAGTACCCTTTTCACATTTTCAAAACGGGGTTTGGTTCTTAAATTGAAGTGAACAATGTTGGTCTATGAAGATAGCATTAATCCAAAATTTTACGTTTTCGGAATGCTCTGAGAGTGGATACCCCCGACTTTTCAAGAATCAGATCAGGCTGAACGAATTTTGACTTACACGAACGTCGCCCAGGCCCCCCCACTGGACTCTCCTCAACCCACCGCACCACAAGCCGAAACCTCCTCATCCCAACTCAATGCCATCTAATTTCCCTTCTTTGCAGCTCAGGAGGAGATGAGATCCCATGAACTGAGCCAGATTCAAGACCAATTGACGTCGAGAAAGGTCGATTCTTGTCTAAAAACTTCCATTTACGCTCGGAAGCCCAGGAAATTTGACCAGGTCCGCACTTCGGTCGGGATCTCGCCCTTGGTAAGGGGCAACTTCGCGCTCATGCAGCGAGCGAAGAGATGGGCAGTCTGTGACAGGGACATTAGTATGACGCACCGCAAACAAGAAAGGACGAACATACCTTCGGCTCCATAAACAGGGGCACTCCGAAATCCACCGCGTTCCTCCTCATCACATAATCCTCATCCACCAGGCTACTGGCCCTCCTCTTCGCCAGGTTAAACACCCCGCGGATGTCATACTTCGCAAACACCTCTCGCAGCGCCCGCTTATCTTCCTTAGGGAACTCAATCACCTCCACCTTCGCCGCATCCTTCGTGCTGGTGCGCAGGTGCTCCGCCACCGTCTCGTTCACCGCGTAGAACTTATATCCTAGCGGCTGCAGCAGGTCCGCGATCGCGGATAACTCTACCTTGTTGACGTCGCCGCCGAAGAGGATCCCCTCGCCCGGTTGCGGCACGCGGAAGTTCATCGTCGACTGCATCGACGCCCAGTACGCTTCGATCAGATCGGTCCCGAAACACGCCATCTCGCCGGTACTCGCCATCTCGACGCCGAGATACGGGTCCGCGCCGGCAAGTCGCGTCCACGAGAACTGCGGCACCTTCGTCGCCACGTAGTCGCGCTTCTCTCCCATCAGGTCGACGGGCTCAGGCACGTCGCGACCGACGAGCGCGCGGGCCGCCACATCAATGAAGTTGGTGCCGAGAACCTTCGAGACGAAGGGGAAGGAGCGGGAGGCGCGGAGGTTGCATTCGATGGCTTTGAGGGCTGGCTCGCCGCCGGACGGGTCTTCGGCTTTGATGATCTGCATGTTGAAGGGGCCGGTGATGCTCCAGGCCTCGGCAACCTTGGAGGCGATTTCGCGGACGCGGTCGATGGTGCGTTGGTCGAGGGATACGGGGGGCAGAACGAGGGTGGCGTCGCCGGAGTGGACGCCGGCGTTCTCGACGTGCTCGGAGACGGCGTGGACAAGGAGCTTGCCGTTGTGGGCGACGGCGTCGACGTCGATTTCTTGGGCGCCTTCGATGTACTGCGTGATGACGACGGGGTGGTCCGGGGAGACGTCGGAGGCAGCGACGAGCTTGTCTTCGAGCTCGGGTTCACTCCAGATGACGGTCATGGCGGCACCGGAGAGGACGTAGCTAGGGCGGACCAGGACGGGGTAGCCAACGGTATCGGCGAAACGCTTGGCTTCGGCGACAGAGGTGAGTTCTTTCCAGGCGGGCTGGTCCACGCCGATGGAGTCGAGGATCTGGGAGAACTTATGACGATCTTCGGCCTTGTCGATGTCTTTGGGATCGGTGCCGAGGACCTTCGCTTTGCCGGTGTCTTGAAGTTTCAAAGCGATGTTCTGGGCAAGCTGGCCTCCGACTGAGACGACAACACCGCTGGCGGTCTCAAGTTCATAGATGTCCATGACTCGCTCGTAGCTGAGCTCTTCGAAATACAGGCGGTCCGCAACGTCGAAGTCGGTGGAATAAGTTTCTGGGTTGTAGTTGATCATAACCGTCTTCTTGCCTTGCTTGTTCAATGACATAGTTGCGTTGACGGCGGACCAGTCGAACTCGACCGAGCTACCAATCCTGTAAACACCGCTACCCAAGACAATAACACCATGGTCATTGAATTCGACGTCATGAGTAGAAGCGTTGTAGGTCGTGTAGAGGTAGTTCGTGTCAGCCGGGAACTCAGCAGCCAGCGTATCAATCTTCTTGACGAATGGTCGGATACCAAAGCCCTTCCTTCGAGCGCGGACATCGTCTTCGGAGCTATTGACAGCCTTGGCGATCTGCTTGTCAGAGAAACCCATTTTCTTCGCCTTGAGAAGCAGTTCCTTCTTCAAACCGAACAGGCTGCCAATCTCCTCCATTTCCTTGGTGCAATTGACAATGTTCTCCAACTTGTACAGGAACCACTTATCGATCTTGCTCAAGTCATGGATCTTGTCGACAGAGTAGCCTTCGTGGAACATGGCCTGGCCAACCGCAAGCCATCGCCTGTCGGTCGGGTTCCGGAGCACGTCATCTAGGTCCTCGAACTTGTCGCCCTGGAATCCCAGGAACTGCGGGTCGACCTGTCGGCAAGCTTTCTGGAACGATTCCTCAAAGGTTCGGCCGATCGCCATGACCTCGCCGACGGATTTCATCGAGCTGCCAATGTCTCTGCGGACGTTCTGGAATTTGCTGAGATCCCATCGCGGCATCTTCGTGACGATGTAATCTAAGCTGGGCTCGAAGTTGGCCGTCGTGGTCTTAGTGACCGCGTTGGGGAGTTCGGGGAGTGTGTGGCCGAGGCCGATCTTTGCAGCCGTGTATGCCAGGGGATAACCGGTCGCTTTTGACGCGAGTGCCGACGAACGAGAGAGACGAGCGTTGACCTCGATGACCCGGTAGTCGAGACCGTCGGGCTGCAACGCGTATTGCACGTTGCATTCGCCGACGACTCCCAGATGGCGGACGATCTTAATCGCCGCCGAGCGAAGCATGTGGTATTCCTCATCACTGAACGTCTGGCTGGGCGAAACCACGATACTGTCTCCGGTGTGGACACCGAGCGGGTCGAAATTTTCCATATTGCAAACCGTGATGCAGTTATCGCTGGCGTCCCGCACGACCTCGTACTCTGCCTCTTTCCATCCTTTGAGAGACTTCTCAACTAGGATCTGCGGAGACAGCGTCAACGAGCGGGCAGCCAAATCTCTAAGTTCATCAGGATTCTCCGCGAAACCGGATCCCAAACCACCGAGAGCGTATGCAGCGCGAACAATGATCGGATACCCAACGCTTTCTGCCGCCTTGAGCGCCTCGTCCAGCGACTCGACGGCAATGGACTCCGCGGTGGGGATATCGATCTCCTTGAGCGCCTTCGTGAACAAGTCGCGATCCTCACTGGTCTCCAGCGTTTTGATGCTAGTGCCCAGGACCTTGACGCCAAACCGCTCAAAGATGCCCATCCGGTTCATCTGCACGCCCAGGTTCAGGGCGGTTTGGCCGCCGAAGCTGAGGAAGATGCCATCGGGTCGTTCTCGTTCGATCACCCATGTCACGTATTCGGGGGTTACAGGGAGGTAGTAGATCTCGTCGGCGAGGACGTGTGAGGTTTGGATGGTGGCGATGTTGGGGTTGATCAGGACCGATTTGACGCCTGCTTCTTTGAGGGCCTTGAGAGCTTGGGAACCTATAGGAATCGCATGTTAGCCACCGATTGCACATTAAAATACTCGTCGGCTCCACCAACTGCTTCATTGTCACGCGAAGGGGTAACGAATCCGCATTCTCACCTGAATAGTCAAACTCTCCAGCTTGTCCAATACTCAGCCCACCACTCCCAATCACCAACACCTTCTGCACATTCACCAGATTTCTTGCCCCATGGATCGCCCCACTATTCAAATATGCCTGCGCATTCGGCGCTTCCTGACTCTGCGCGGCTCTGCGGCCCACCGTCTTCGAGAACTGCCTGTATTGGCCGGTCCATTTCTGCGGCCGAGCCCTGAGAGCTGTTACTCGGCAGGTTGTGAACGCTCGAGGAGAGAGGGAAGGGATCCGCGCGGTGCGAGCGCATGGTCGGGCGGTCCCTCTGGAAAGCGCCTGAAGCGACGGCGCGAGCTTGTGCAGCTCGCGGGCGGAGATGGACGACATCTGGGCGGATGGGTGGATGCCTGTATGTCGGACTCAATTGAGCCGGGTCTCCGTTGCTCGTCTTCACGAGAGCGTCTTGACAGAACAAGGGACGAATGTGGGTGAAGAGGAGGAGTCAAAGGAAACTCGGTCCTATGACGTGGGAATTTTTTTGTCGAGATGCCTCTATGCGAGCGAGGGATTGAGGCTCCCAACTAGTGGTATCAGACGCAAGGACCCCGGAAAAAAACCCTTCCAGCGAGCTTGCCACTGATAAGAGAGCAGTAGCTCCAACTGAAGTCAACAGCAGATGGTTGACGGGGGGAGTCGGAGGCGGGAAGAATTCTTTGATATCTTAATTGGCGAAATGCGGTGAGAATTGCACTAATCGCTCCGGTTTCGATTCCGATTCGGTGAATTGATAGAAGAGCTTCGAGTTGCTCTGTTGCACAGCTATGAATAGCCTTCCATGGCAATGATCTAATGAAGAGGAGGAGCCATTGTGACAATGTCTTCTGAACAGTATAGAATTGAGGAATTGAAGGAGGAGAAAGAAAATTGCCGCCCGGATATACGGTATTAGTAGGGGAGAAGTTGTATGACTGGGTGGGTGTGACTGGTTCAATTGTGGAGGGGGATTTTTTTTTTTGTCGATTCCGCACTGGCGCCGATTTATTTTGGGGCCCAAGATCGGGGTCGATGAGACCCTTGCAGTATGAATATCCTGAAAGATATTGATTCGACGACTATAAAATTATTTAGAAAGCACAATTGATCCTATGGGACGTTTTGGTGAAGACTGTTGCTATCGTTGATGATCAGATGGGGCGCATTGCTGTCAGGATCGGTGGTTGGGACAATACCGATACCGGTGGCATGGCCAAGGTATTCCTTCATATCGTACAGTGCTATGTTCAATCATACTATATACTGGTATCGTGTATATAACATCAACACGCGCTTCAGAATGCTCTTCGCACGCTCTTCGCACGCTCTTCATGCACACAACCCACGTGAATCTCCCCTCTTCTACGCCCAGATCCTCTATGCAAACACCAAACCACCCCCTCGATACTCCAACCCTCTCTCTTCCCTCACCACCCGCTAAAACGCCATACTCTTCTTCTTCCCCAACCCAAACCGACTCTTCTTCTCCTTCTCCTTCTCCTTCTCCTTCTCCGGCTTTTTCAGCCCCCCATTGCCTAAATCCGTCGCCCGCCTCGCTAGCGCGTCCAACGTATAGCTCTGGCTCCTTGCATGCCGCAGCGGCGCCACTGGAGACTTCAGTGGCGGTGGAGGCGGGAGGGGAGGTAGGTCTTTCGTCGGCGGCTGCGAGCGCACATGATCCAGCGACGGTTCCTGGTGAGATAATCTCCCTGGATCAGTGTGCACGGGGGAGAGCGGGGGCATGGGAGGCTGAGTGTGCGAGGTGGATGTTGTCGACGAAGGGCCGGTCGAGGAGGAGGGCGCATCGTGCTGGTTTTTCTCCTTCTCCTTCTCCTTCTCCTTCCCGCCCCAGAACTTCGGTTTATGCCTCAGACTCATGCTCATGCTCGTCTGCCGAAACCGATGTAGTCCCCCACTCTTCACCCCACCCTTCCCATCCTGTGCCGTTACCCCTGCCCCTGCGACCATCTGCCCATCCCCAACCGCACGCGAAATATCTCCATTCATCGCCTTCGCCACCACCTCCCCCCGCTCCTCCACCGTCGCCAACTTCCGTCTATCATCATCCTCCTTCTTACTCATCTTGCTGATCTTCAACGCTTTCTGAAACTCCTCCTCCTGGATCCGTCGCCGCTCTACCACGTCGTTTGCCACGTCCTTCCGCCGCTGCTTCTCCGCCAGATACGCCTCGCGCTCCGCGTCTCGCCGGTCCTTCTCGCGCGCCTTCTCTTCCGACTTCTCACGCTTCGCGTCTTCTTTGCGCACACGCTCGAAGTCTTTGGAGCGGCGGATGTCGTCTTTGCTAGGTTTGGGTTTGGTGGAAAGGGTGTGGAGGGATTTTTTGGAGCGGAGAGGGGAGAGAAGATGGTTGCTGTGGGGGGTGTGGCTGCTGGAGTCGCGAGGAGTGGTCGTGGTGGCGGGGGAGGTGGGGGTGGGTGAGAGAGGGGCGCCGGGGATGTGGGCGGTGGAGGGGACAGTAGCGGCGTGAGCGAGTGGGTTGAGGGGACTTTCGATGTCTTCGGGAAGTGGTGTGGCAGGTGTATGCGATAGCGGTACTCCGTGGGGGTGTGTCGAGCCATTAGGCATGTTTTTCGGCGGAGCGGACGATTCCGCTGCAGTGGCGGCAGGCGGCGTGCCTTGCGCTTCCTGTTCCCGTTGCACGGCTTCGAGGGTCGTCTCTTGATAGAACAGCACGTATGCGCAGGCGAGTTGTCCTTCACCTCCAAAGAAGTTCGTCACGTACGATTGGTCTACAGGCTCAACGAGCTCGTCGTCGAACAGTAGCCAACCCCTGTCTTGAGTCTTGATGATCGAGACGTAGTGCCCGTGATACGGTCCGCCACCAAGATGCACCACCACAGCGTACAGCTCATATAACCGATCCGGATCTTCGGCGTCGTCCGTCGTATTAAATAGGCGAAGGTGGTACGGGTATACGACTCGATGAAACAGTTTCTGCAGCCGTTGCAGATCTTCCGTGTACTTAAACCGCTTCAGATGGAGCGCGAGAATCCTCGGAAGTCGCTTGACTTTCATTCGCTTCTCTGCCTCCTGGAGCCCCCCGCAGTTGTCGCAATGGAATTTATTCCGCTCACAGAGCATTTCCTCTTCGGAGAATTTGCGAAGACAGGAGGTGACGGAGGAATGCTGTTCGAGGTCGACGGAAAGATCGAGGAACGCTTCGTCGCGCTGGGAGAGGTTTTCGCAGGTGAGGCAGCGCGTTTCGGATGTGAGGAGCCCTTCGAATAGATCGTGGACCCAGCCGGTCCCGTTGATCGAGTTTTGATTCGAGTTGACGACCGTCGGCGTTTTCAATTCCGGTGCCGTCATATCATTCGCCAGGGCCTTCTGTACCGTCGCCGCCATCTGCTTTGAAAATTGCTCCACGTTCTCCACCACCTCGTTCAACAACAGGTTCAAAAACTCATGCGCATCCTGGTGCATCGGTGTCCGAAACATCTCGTTCTCCCTCCGTAACACCTCCAAGAACTTCTGCGGACTAACGACGCCCATCCTCGACGGATGGGCAATGATCGCCTCGAAGATATCTTTCAGGCAAGAAAACAACGACTCATTCATCCCGTAGGCCTTCGAGTTTTCGTAGTCCATCGCGACAATCGGACCCTTGTCCATCAAGAGCTTTTTCTTGTATTCCGATGAGTCCTTGTTCTCCTCCTTCGGCTGCCCCCCTGGCCCGGTTGCCGTTGTGGTCGCTGGCTTCGCTCGCGGCGGCCCGACAGTGTTGGTGACAGGCGGATTGCCTTTTAATGGAGGGGGAGGTCCGCCATTGCTTGCGCCGGTATCGCTGTCGATTTGAGGGAGGCCGGAAGAAGCGCGGTTGAGGGAGTCGGCGGGGATGCGTTTAGGGAAATTTATGACATGTTCTCGGAACGCGTGAGAGTAGTATAGACACTGCACTATTGAGTTACAATAACTGCGAATCGGTTAGTCGAGCCATGTATATCGAAACTTCCATCGGAATTCTAGAACGGAACCGTACCATGTGCTTCCAAACTATGTGCAAACCACCGTTAGCATCGCAACATTTCCTGGAGATATATCCCAGCCGACTTACATTCTCAAACCCAAAGAATTTATCGCTCCCATCCGTTCGCAGCGGGCCTGCATCCACCAAGAGTTTCTCCAGCGGCGTCGGCGGGGGCACGTTCAGGTCCTTCTTCGCCTTCTCCTGCGCCGCCAGCGACGGAGAGGCGGGATTCTGGTAGCACAGAATGGGTCAGTTCCTGCGCCATGTGTTTGATTTCCAGGGGTTTCCTGGCGCCAACACTCACTGCGCTGCCTTTCAATCGTCCGAAGAAGGACGACATGGTCGTGTGGGCGAGAGGCGAGTCGCCTCGGCCGTTTGGGTTGAGGCTCAAGAGCTACAGGGTGCCGGTATGCTTGCGCTCGAGGTGGACGGGTCGGGTATCATGGGGAGGGAAATGCGAGCGCGCAAGGCCGGATCAGGAGAATTGGAAAACGCAATGACGAAAGGAAGGGAAGGAGAAGTGTAACTCCGGGGCGTTGAAAGGAACTGTACAATGCGGACTGTCGTCAGAGGGGTGAAGATGGAATAAAGACGGAATCCTAACGAGGAGCAGCGTCTTTACCGAGAGCGACAGGGCAGGAGTGGGTGTAATAACGCTGGTTTGGTCTACGATTCAGGGTTCAATACGGTAATAATTAATGACGGGCTGACTTAATTGGACCCTTCCGCGAATCCTATCGGTCAGTTTTAATTCAAAGAAGACACCATGAAGGTCGGAGAAAGGTAGGATAACTCCATGTGTCCGACCCCGAGACCTGTTCGGTGGTGAACAGGCGAAGTGTATCGGTAAGGTACAGTATTCCGTATTCCGTATCATCTCCGGATGGGGCGTGTGATTTAGCGCTATTCGCAATACGAGATGCGGACCGTCAGCCGAATGACGATATCTCAACCTCTCCTCGTGCACTCCTCGTGGGCGAAGGTTGTCGAGTGTGGACCAGTCGCATCCAATGTTCCAGGCGATTCCCACGACTACGACGGTACCGTTACTACGTCCCGTCCAGGCTAATTTCGGCGATATAGTGGCGAATAGGCTCATGGCATTCCAGGGGGAACCCGCATCGGAGAGCGGGATGCCGCATCCATCGCGGTTTAAAACCTGCAGACTTGCTTATCCAACCGGTTCACCCGGGCAGGTGGTATCGCAGTGGACACAGTCCAACGCGAGAGGGGCTGAGGGAGGGGGGGGGCAATACGGACGGCTTGTATGCACTACCTACTATGTAAGTCCGGGACTGCTGCCTGCACGATGGAGCCATGCATGTCACATAACTGGTGGCATGTTTGATGGATGGGGGGGAGCCAATCCCGTTGAATGGTTGCGGACTCCGGAGGAGATGGTGGGTGGAGGTTCCTTGTTAGTCCTTGGTGGGCGATGGATTGTCCAGTCGTGGGAGAGGAGGCTAAAATCCCGCATGCTGCTATCGTGACGGTGACATGGAGCGGACGAGGGGTACTTGCCTATCACCAAGCAATCTTGCCGAGGATGAACCAAGGTTTCTGGCGTATAGGCACCTTCTATCATCCTTCGATAACCGTTCGGTCGGCCTTCGATTGCCAGCCAGGGCTATCTTGGTACAGATTCGCTTGGATACCCAGAAAATCCCCGTCTGGAGGTCTAGAAGAGCCAGCGCTCTGGTATTTGGGGACACGACCTTTTATCCGGGTCCTAGCCACGTGCAATATCGTTTGTCATCCGGATAAAGATCCTTGGGGGTTCCACAGGATATAGAGAACAGGTATTTGGGGAAAGGACATGGTTGGTCGAGCAGTAGTATTCACCACAGGCATATAAGTACTTATTAAGTGTCTATACAGAATGACAGGTGGGACACAAGGCGACACGATGAAGCAGGTACTGTCGAACTGATATATCCATTCCATTTTGTTCAGATCCGCCGCGTCTAGTGCATTGTTTTAAGCAAATATCCTTTTCATTCTCCGATCCTCTATTTCCTCTTCTATCTCAATCTCACCTATGTCCCTTCTCATCCACCCTCAAAGTTGATCTATCAACGGATCCAATGGTGGCCCACTACACGCCGGCGCCTCAGTGGTAACCGTCAGCGCAACCGAGCACCCTGAAGTCAACGACGTGCTCGTCGTCGCACACAAGCTCCCACTGCACGACACCCAGTAGTTCGTGCTCATCACTTCCCTCGTGCAACTAGCCGTCGCTGTCGTGGGCGTCGCCGAGCAGCCCTTCGTCTCTATCGAGCTGTATGTTGAGCACGTGGGCGAGGATCCGGACGTCGCGCACGTCACGAAGAACTGAGTGGCCGTCGCGGTCTCCGTGCATGACGAGGACGTCGACCGGCTTCGGTCGTTGCTCGTGGGGTTTTGCGTCGGTTTGTGCCTGGGTTCTTGAGATCATTGTTATGGCCAGGGGGCTTGCCTCCATGTGAACCCGGCCCGGTTGTTTCCCCCCCATCTTCGGACCCGTCGGGAAATTGAATGGGCAAAACAACCAACATTCCCCACCACCGCCTTTGCCTTTGCCTTTGCCTTTGCCTTTGCCGCCTTTACCGCGGTGGTCATCGTCATTGTCATCGTCGTCATCGTCGTCATCACCTCCGCCGCGGTAGCCACCTCCACTGTTGTCGTCATCGTCATCGCTGCCATCTCTACCATCGTTATCGTCCCCATTTCGCGGCGGATCTTCTCTTCCACCCGGTGGTGGAGGGGGGAACGGCATATCAATCGGCGGGATGTTAATATCGATATCAATCGATGAGCACGGGATGAAGGAGAACACCTCACAGGGTTTCATCCCACAGAGCAGGCCTTTGCAGGTGATCCTGGGGGATCCGATGCCGATATCCAAGGCCGGGGGAAGTTCATGCCCCCAGGAAGGGAAGTGACTTCTCCGTCCTTCCCGCCGTCTTCGCTGTTTTCGCCTCCGAGCCACCAGACGGTGCCCTCGTATTCCGACTTCCACCAGTCCGGAGGTGAGAGTGACTTCTCCGGTACGTCGATTTGTGTCGGGTGTGGGTGTAGAGGGACGATACGAGTCTCCTTGGGCATGTAGAAGCTTGGCCCAAGGTCCCCTCCGGTTGGCATCGGAATTCCTGAGACATCGGATGGCGGGTTGGTGTACTTGAATGGCTTAAAGGTACCCATGCCCGACCCAAGCGAAATATTGACCGGGGGAGGCTGTATGCTCATCAGTGGTTTGTAGCCCGAGACTGTCCCCGAGCTAGGGATCGGGATAGGCCAGAAGTTGATCTAGTCCGTAGTGAATGGCGGGATGGTGATGACAGTGGAGAATGGGACAGTGGTGCCTCCGGAAACCACCTCTCCCACCTGCGACGTGGCCATCGGCTTGCCCTCAAAAAGAGTGGCCCAGATGGCGGTCGTCTCGGATGTTGAACCGCCCGTGACGGAAAGGAGGACCGTGGAGTATTCCGGCAGTGTGATCGTCGTCGGCGATGGTAGTGGGAAGGGAGGGAGATAGATCGTGCACGGCGGCTCGTACTGGAGGTCCGAATTCAGCTGTGCGTAGATAATCGGAGGAGGATAGTAGTCGCCCGTTCCTCCCATTCCGCTTCCTGTGAAACCACCTTCTTGAACACCCTGGCCACCCTGGCCACCCTGGCCACCCTGGCTACCTTGACCACCTGGAGCACCCTGGCTACCTTGACCACCTTGACCACCCTGACCACTTTGGCCACCGTCCTGGCCACCTTGACCACCGTCTTGACCACCTTGACCACTGTATTAACCGCCTTGGCCACCATCTTAACGACCTTGTCCGCCTTCTCCACCGTTTCCTCCATGAAGGTAGTCTGCTTATTCGTTCCAGCATATACACCGGGGCCCATGTCATACTCCAGGCTCCATATGACGGTGCCACCCAGACAACGGTTATTCGCAAACATCGTCTTCTCAGCCAGCGTGATCTGGCCATCGTACCCCATCCATTGATCGGAGTTGTACGTGAGAATCTGAACCTTTGCATCGTCTGATGGGTTGCATTAAGCCCATGCTTTGCACGAAGCAGCGTGCGGATCTCGTGGTTCGACAGGACGCCGGGCTCGTTGGTGCATGAATCGGGGATGGAGGCGGACGGGCCGGAGAATTCGCAGGTGCCCAGGTCTCCACAGGTCTGGTCCCTGATCGTGTAGCCTCGTCCGTACCAGGCGACTCCCAGATTGAATTTGGAAAACTTGAGGCCGGCTTGGAAGTACACCTCCAAGACTTTCTCGATATCTCGAGCATCCGTGTGCGCGTGCATCGAGGTTCCCCAACCATTAAAGGCATCCCAGTGCCCGTGAAGATCCCAAGTGCCGAGATTGAACCAGTTGACGTACGGCTCCATGCCTTTGAGGTCGTACTGCATGGAGTATCCAGGTTCGCCGGGGATAAGGACGCTGATTCCGTAATTCCTGTTGCTACTCTTCATGTGTTCGCGGAATTCTTTCAGCAATGTGACGAAATTATCCTTGTCGCCCTGTCGTCCACCACGCTCTTTGATTCCGGGATATGCCCAGGCCCGTTCGATGCCTTGAAAGCCATATTTGTCCATGAACCAGATGGCTGAATCGATGAATTTGCGGCGGTTGTCTGCGCTCGCGGCCATGTCTGACCAGGTCCACTTGGTGCGAACTTCACAGCTGAACTGCCATCCTCCAACAGCAATCCAAGTCTCAGTCCACGGGCTCCGGTGTCCCACGAATGTCCCGTACATGGTTGGATCGGAAGGATGGGTAGGGGCCATTTGAAATGTCTCCGGATCGATCGAGGCATATGCATAGAGCAAATGGGTAAGGCCACGGGTGTTGATATATTGCGGCCAGATTTGGTTACACTTTCGATGCCGCACGTTCCTGTTTCCAATTGTCAATTAAATCTCCAGAATCGCAGTGTGATTATGAAAACTTACGCTCCCTAATAATATCCAATGGTTCGGCCATTTTTCGCTGATCCGCTGTCTGGACCACATTCAGGCAATCCAGCAGCTTCGGTGTCTCCAAACTTCCTCTGAGTAGGTGTCTCTTGTCCGGCTTGGTTGGCCTTGGTGCAATGTAGCTCGGAAGATCCACACTAGCCGAAGAAAGAATAGCAAAGGTTGTTGGGACATGAGACCTTGGAGTCGACTGAATTGACGCCGCATTAAGCTTTTGCATCAGAGTTGGACAGGCAGGGCTCCGGCTCATCAGGATTGCAATGCTCTTTTTGGAACCCGCAGAGGCCTTTGGAGTTACAGCAAGATCCATCAACGCATGGGATCTCCGCGCTACAGTATCTTTCTCGCTCCACTTTCTCAGTGTGCTTGTCCATGTAGGTCCCATTGCGGCCAGACTGGGCTAGGATGTAGCCAGTCGAGAAGTCTATGACAGGAATGTACTTGGCACGGTTCATAGCTCGAAAGGAATCATACACGTTGGATGTGGACATAGAAGAAAGAACATTGATCCTGCTTGTACCATCGCTTTCGTCTTGGACGGCATCCTAAATAACTGTTAGCAGTGTTAAAGGACTTGAGAGAGTAAGCTCACCTTGGGGAGGGCGTAGGCTGCGATAAGCAGCTACTCTAGAAAGACACAGACAACTCTCGCCATGGTCGATGAGCCCAGTTCCGTTCTGGTGACTGGCAGATCCCGGTTCAGATACGAGAGGTTGGTGATGGCAGCGAGTGTGGCACACTCGATGTTGAACGGCAACGATAGGAGATGTACTGGAAGAACTATAAAAGGCGGGAACCTTGGATTGGGAAAAACAGATCCCGCAGGTGTTAGACGCCAAATGAACGTATTCAGAGGGAGAACCTGGAGTGTGAACAGAATGTGTTGTTGTAAAATAAAGAGGAAGGTTGGAGGAGAAATTATCGACTTTATAAGAAGACAGCAGATAGCAATGATGAAACTCCGTTGATGCAGAGAACTGCATATAGACAACACCCACCTTTCGTAGCCTCGCATGACAGGAATTACAGAAAACCTCATAATTTCGTTTGCTTTGCGGGCGAGGTCCATGCTGGTGAATGAAGATAGTCATGTTGATTGAGACTGAAGGACTGGAGAGCTGATAGTCGAGAGCCGCACTGGTCGGCCATGGTAAGAATCGTACTATAGAGACGGAAACCACAGTGCGTAAGGTATGGATTCCAACCCCTTCACACCAGCGTTTTGCCCCCATTGCCTTGGAAATAACTCTTTCTGGCTGACATCAAGTCCGATCCGCGTATTGACTTATATTGACTTGGATTCAACCAAGGGCGTTTGACAACAGCCCTCAGCATAGTAAGATAAGCCGCCTTACCCTTAATACTTGAATAATTTCATAATTCCAATACCAACCCGAAGCCCTCGCCGTTATTGATCCCAGTCTCATTGGGCGCATTCTATAGGTTTTTTTCCTTAACTCCGATATATACACCCCATTCAAACATTAACCGAACCAACCCTATCATTCTCACCAACTCATCTCCCTCTCCGACGACGGACTTTAAGCAATCTACCCCGACGCCCCACCATTCCCACTCCCCTTGTCCCCACCCTCATTCCCCCCTAGCGAGCTCCTCCTTAAACTACTCCGCCTCCGCCTCCCACTGACAACCCCCGGAAACATCCTCGGCTCACTCCCATCCAGCACCGGGCCCGGCGGAGTGACGTACTCCGGGCTCGGAAACGGCACCGAGCCCGTCCCAGCGCCCGCCTGCCCTGCGCTCGCCGCGACTTCGGAGCTGCTGGCCGCAGAGCTATCAGGGCCTTCGCGGTCGCGAAAGATTTGGGAGGACGTGCGGAAGGGGAGGTTGGTCGATGGGCTTGATGTGTCTTGGTTGAGGTTTGGTTGGAGGTTGGATGGGTCGGGGGTGAGGGCGCTCGGTGATTGAGGGTGGGTGTCACCGGGGACGGCGGTTGATGCGGAGGGGGTTTTCTCCGAGTAGCCGGTTGGGAAGCGCGGGGGGAGCATGGCGGACGGCAGGACGGAGAGGTGGACGGAGGATACGGCCTCGCTCTGATTGGGGTTCGTCGAGGAGGGCTGCGTACGCATGGAAGCGGAGGGGGAGCCGGATGGTTGCGTTGGGTAGTTGTTTGGAGCTTGGGGAACGGAAACAAGAGGGGTGGCAGGAACGGTGGTGTAGCGCTCGATCCTAGGAGAATATCGTTAGTAGAGAAGGCGGGGAGAGCGGACAGGAAACTTACATTGCTAGTTCTTGTCTCAAGGTCTCGTCCCGGAACGCTTCCCGGATATCGGGGACGTTGACCTTGGCCATGTCATTTCCAGTTACACCAGGGAGGTGGTAGTTCTGTCCGATCCATCGTTGCTTGATGGTATGTTCAAAGCCACTTTGAACAACAGAATGTTTCGCAAGCTCAGACATATCCACAGCGCTGAGCTTGTAGATCTGTGCTGCGACCGCATACTCTTCGATTAGCGGTTCCTTGGTGAAAGCGAATTGCAGAGGATCGTCAGTCGATAGTGAGACATTCAGTCCTCGCCGGAAGTATTGCAGGAATGGATTCCGTTCATACGCCAGGAAGAGCGCGTTATTGCTGAGTGGCGACATGGCAATGCCGATTTGCTCGAGGTAGAAGATGTACTGCAACAGTGGTACTTTGCGAAGAAGTAGACCATGACTGATGCTGTGGCAACAGATCAAGGCGACGGCAAGATGATCCGTGTCGCCTGCTTCTCCGCAATGCGGGCGCAGGACAAATGTATTGAAACCTCGTTGCTTTCGCCAGACGTTGACGGAAGCGATGTTCGAGAAGAGGTGGTACATCCAATAGCTATATGGGGGGTTCTGCTTTGTGTTCCATTCCTTTGGAAGGGGGAATTTGCGGTACAGACGTCTCTCGGCCTTGCTCTCGTCGTCCACGCTGTCAAACCCAATCACTCGCTGAAGGAAGACGTGGAGATTCGGGTGACTGCTGGGATCCTTTGTCACCTCGAACAACGGTTGGAAGATATTGATCACGATCTGCTCGAAATTGTCCACCAGGCCTGTAGACTTGTACACGTCATACAGTCGCGGGATTTGGACGAGCCATCGGACGTTGGGTGAGAAGAGCTTATTATCGACCACCCAAGCTGCCAATTTGTCCCACTCGTCTAGTGTGCGTCCGTAGATGGAGATGCGCCATTCAACCATTTGGTACTTGCTTGCTTCAAGGTCGGAGATGACTTCTTTCGTGATCTCAGCGAGATAGCGGCCTTTGATATCGTTGTCGGTTTTCAGGAATATAGTTCGGAGTCGTGACTCGCCGATTGGATTGTACTTTAAGTTAAATTTGTCGAACCGGTGGAAGCTGTCAGTATGAGCCTGGTGTGGTTGTTAGCGCCATCAATAATAACGGGTAGGTCATCACTCACATGCATATCAAGCGTATCGATGCTAAGATCGTATGCTGAAAGATTGATGCTGTCGAATACCTCCTGCAAAGTCAAGACCTTTCCGTCCCTGTACAACACTTTCTCGTCTGGACATTTCTTGATCTTGCTCTTTATGAACCGCAGCAGATGCTTTTGGTTCATACAGGCCGAATGGTGAACGTGGGTGTCGACCTTTCGGACGTTGTAGAAATCTCGATGTGGAACTTTTTTGCTGTCGGCCATCTCCTGATACTCGTTCAGCAGATAGTACAGGTTGAACTTGCCCTCCAGATACTGCAATCGTCGGAATGCAAAGCTCTTGCTCGGGCCATCCGACGAGTGGTTTAGGATCATGTCGAGGTCCATGTAGTACTCTCGAATCGTAGGGATATGGACAATAGGCGTGCCATGCTCAGCTGATTGGTGATTCTCGTACACTTGGAAGACGCTACTTTCGTCCACTTTGAAAGTCATTTCCGATGCATCCGGCAGCGGATACATATCATTGATGTCAAAGTCCTCGCCGATATCCTGTCCCGGCTTCCGCGGTTTCTTTATCGGAGTCCCCGGCATGCTTTTCTCGTTGAGGCCGGTGCTGCTTGGCACGCTGCTCATTCCATTGCTCTTATGCTGGTCCCATGTTGGTTCGGGAGGTGGAGGGTAGATCAACCAACTAGGATCATCCTTTGGATTGTCCCCTGCTCCTTGCAGGGAGAGTCGCATATACTTGTGTCGAATGTCGATGATCTGCTGGATGTTCGTGTAGATGTTGTTCAGCTCGGCGGTTACATGGTCGTCGCTTGTTGCGAATCCACCCCCTCCCGAACCAATTCCCACGCCCGCTCCTGCACCGTGGATCCCCTCGGATGCCAGAATTGGGGGTTTCTCTTCATGGGGTAGGCCTTGGTGCAGCCTGTGTTCGCGAGCGGCAGCGTCGGCCAGGAGGTACGGATCATCCTCTTTCTTGCCTCGGAATGGACCAGTAACTGGTGTCTGGGATACAATGCTCGGCCTTGCTTGGGTCTCGTTCAGTTGCGGACCTAGTCTCATACCCGCTGCTTGTCCATGATTGGGCAGGCTGACGTTGCTTCTTCTTGACTTGATGCTGTCCGCGCCGCCAAAACGTCCATCACCAGCAAATGTCTTCGCTCGCAGGATAGGACTAATTGCCTCCATCGATGAATTATCCCCTCGGCCACTTTGACTGTCTTGCTGTAATCGCTGGTAGATTTGTTTTGCTTCCTGGTGGCTCATTTGCTTCTCCGAAGCGTAGTCGTAGAATGCAGTCTTTCTTTGGAGATCTCGCGGGAGCATACCCTCCTGCAGCTCGTCATTCAATGGGCCATTGGCATTGTCCGATTCGTCGGGAGACTGCTTCGTACTACCTTCGCCGTTGTCAGGTTCATTTCGATTGGAATGTGGGTTTGAGTCTTGGAACTCATCGGCTGGTTCGGCTGTATCGTAGAAGTCCTCGTCCTCGGACGAGTGATGCATCCCGGTTTCGAGAGACCCGACATATGTCTCGTCATCCATGGTGTGGCTGAAGTCTAAATACGTTCGATGGTCAGTTGAAGAGTTTAACGTGAAGTAGATGATGCAATGATTGGAAGAGGGAAGCTAGGGACTGCCGTACCAAGGGCCATGATTTCCCAACGGAGAGCTCCAGCTCACAAAAAGCATGCACGATAAGGAAATCACGGACTATTGCTCACTTCTCCGAAAGCACAATCAATCATTCAGCAAGAGGGCTTTCCGGTTGTGTTGCGTTGCGGTGTGACACTGTTCTTATCGAGATGCATGCAGACATCCAACACGTCAGCGCGAGTCAGTGTTATTCACGACACGAGACACGAGTCACGACGGTTAGTGACGGGATGGAATTTGCTGTGCCATTGGCTTTCACGTGCTTGGCTCAATCTTATTTGGACTTCATAGTTCATCGGCCTTCGCCTACGCTTCTCCATTTCTGTTGCTATTAAAATCGTGTCCATAATACCGAAGTCAGCAGTCATAATATTCCTACAAAGTTCGCCGAAGTCCGAATGTCCGTTCGTATGGAGTTAGCTGGCGACAGAGCCTGCTGCTCGGTCTGTCATACATGCACTATGAGATTGTGTTTCATGATGTTCAGTCCGTAACCCCTTTGCCGTGAGCATGATGGAAAATAGTTCTCCTCATGGGGCTTCCGCATAACTGGGGACGGCTTTATCGGTTCAGTTACACGTTCGAAGGGAATCCCTCTCAGTATATCCGTCCCTCCTTCGGACACCAAACTCAATCCGTCTCCTGGACCTGCGGGCAGGACACCCCGGGACTCAGCTCGAGTGCCAGAATTACCTGGCACAATTACTGAATATCCCCCAGTTCGAATTATTATCCTATTTTGGTGAGACCTTACCCGGACACGAGATATCCAGTTGAATGGGAGGCCTTTTCCCGTCATAGCTAGCATTCATGGTGCATTGAGGAATTTGTGCTATGCTAACCAAGGACGGAAGGTATGAATTGATGCCCTGTTCATTAATCAACGGGACTATGCTGAGCACAAATCGCAACTGCTTCTGTTGAGACATATCTACCCCCTTGCCAATTGGACTGTGACATAGATTAGTGAGGAAACCGAATCAATCGGTTCGGCGAAAGATCTGCCTCGATAGTTTCGGGGACCTTCGGCAAAAGTCAGATTCAGCGAGTGTAACATTGGATATCTCGGGCCATCTTGCGAGTACCCGAAACCCCTCAACACACCGCCCACCGGCCTGGAGTGCTCTCCGCCGTCAGTGGCTGATCTGATCCCAGAAGAGTCTCTAACAAGCATGATCCTGAAGCTGTGTGTCGGTCGCCATATTCCTAGCCGCGCGGGAGGCCTGGGTTTGGTGTCCGCTTACCCATCTCCGGCGGATCGGGTTGTCGATCTACGTGGTGCAAGCGTTCCTTGCGTTGTTCTACCCACCAAACTTTGGCGAGTATCGTTTGATCGGGGAATCATTGTGGATGAGGTTTTAAGTCTGAATCACCCAAGATCATTGCAGGTCGACGAAGAGACAATGATGACACTCCTGTGAGGACCAGGCATGAAGGAAAATCTAACTGAAGCCGAAGTTCATCTTCGATGGAGTGATCAAATGTGGAGATATTCTCATATTCAGGTTAAGGTAGGATCCTTGGCGGCTTGGCAATTTTTACTCCACCAACACGCGTCAGAACGCGCTTTTATCAATTATATCAATATCGCGCTTTTATCTAGCCCATAATCATTGCTCTTAGGCTTCAAACATTTGTTGAAATCTTTATTTTCTACTATCGTAACACTATATGTTTTAATACTATAGTTACAGAACTTGTTGAACTAAATCGCGTCAGGCTCGCGTCGTATCGCGTATTCCAAAGCACTATCTCGATCGATGAACAACGAATACGACTCTGGAGAAGAAGCTGCAGTCGAAACTCTGTTAGGAATGGCCCATACGCGCGATCAATCAAACCGCAATATCCCGCCATCAAGTCCTCGTCATAGTGAATCCGAATTGGAATCCGATATAGAAACGGATACACCATATTCTCGACGACGTAGACTCAGACGCAGGCAGATGCGAGTCGGCTTCGCGGATCCTCTACATCAAGACACACCAGATAACGTAGTGCAAGCAAGACTAGCACCAGCGGTTGGTCGTCGACCTATAAAAAAGGCAACAAAGTCGAATTCAAAAGGCAGCTCTACTAGTGATAACGGCAGAGCTGCTAGTTCGAAGACTACGAAATCCGCGAAGACCACAAAGAGGGCAGGGCCTACGAAGGCTAAGCCTGTAGCAGCAGCGAAGAAACGCAAGCAAACGAAAGCAGTCTCTTTTCCACCATCCACGCCGACTCCTGCCAGGGGGCGTACCTTTATCATTTCGGATAACGACGATAGTAGCGACGGCCAGGATGAGGTAGATTCTACTGATGGTGTTGTTGAGTTACCTCGCAAGCGTCTGAAACGAGGTTCTGGTTTAGCAAATGTCCAAGGGTTTGGTACCGGATCTCAACCTGGGATATCATCGCCTATTGCCAGCCCTGCTGCGAATTCAGCATCTCAATCAACCAATAAGATATACAATCTATTCGGCAAGACTATGAAGAACATCCTCACGCTCATTCCATACCTTGATGGGCTAGCACTTCCGAAGAAAATGACAGCAGCGAGCCTTGTGGATATCAATCGCGAGAAGATTCTGGAGGTTGCGCAATCTATCGCCAAATCACAAGCAATGAAGCGGTTTGAACCTCTCGTCTATCATCATGAGACGAAGGCTTCATTCTCTGCAGCAATGATTGATAGCCGAACGAAACCTGTGGTTGAGAACGACATTGATCTTAGTACTGATAACGACGCTAAAGAATTCCGCGCTGTTTTACACTATCAGTATCATGAACTCAACCTACAAAACCTCAAGATTACCATTGAAGTTAAATATGGCACAACTTTCGAGCCATTACCGACTCCAGTCCCTATTCCCAGGCAATCGACAACTGCTGCATCTTCTGGCAGTACCCTATCTTTGGCGCATCCTCTTACTCCGGCGGTACAAGCGATTACCACCGCCAATACAGATAAGAGTGCGCTTGTGACTCAGATTACCCAGCGATGGAAGTGCACGTTGGGTTCACATCGGTGTCCTGCAAGGTCATTATATTGCTGGCCGAACCCACAGGCAGAAAATCGCCATATGGAGATATCTGATCGCATTACTAAGAACTGGGCTGAACTAATCCGCATATCTCCTACTCTTCACAGTATCGAAACACCTCCTGCCCCTATCCAGCAACAGCTTTTTACGTGGGACCAACAGAAACAAGCACAAGAGGCCCGAAATACTTCCAAATCAAAGCGGTCTTCCACTGAGACTCTATCATCACAGCCAGGCTCTACCCAGAACTTCAACTTCGGCTTCCCATCTATGGGTATGACGCCCTGGGGTATGCCGCCTACCACACCTATGGCAACTCAATTTCCAGTACCTCCCAGTTCTCCAGTATCATCAGTCGACGGCTTCACGGTCCGGGAGTTTTGTAGGTGGATAGGTCAGGGCCGGCCTGAAGCGCAAAGGGAAGAGTTGATCAAGGCAGGCGAGGACCTTGATAATGAAGGTTATACCATAGGCGATGCGAATCTGGAGGCTCGCAGAAATCCTATCCGTCTTGCTGAGAGGCTGAATATCAAGGATGGTTATCTTAAGAGCATCGGGTCAAAGAAGCTATTCGAACGCTTTAAACGGTCGTTTATTAACCCTCCGGTCACTAGAGGGGGTGGCTAGTAAACCATCGTGCCTTTTAAACGGTCTCGGATTTATCTATAAATTAATACCATGAACATTATATCCTGACTTCAGCCACAGCGCTTGATGGTTTGTCCGGTCAGTAAAAGCAATACATGCTGCCTTTAGAAACTCTACAAACGCCGCCTCATAGCCTTCCCTAAACTCCGGAAGCAAATCATCATTCCGCTTCATCCAGCTTTTTAAGACATGGAACGAGGGCTCAATGGGATTTAAGTCTGGCGAGTATGGAGGCAAGTATTTAAGAAGAACACCCTTAGCGTCGCATAATTGGCGAATACCCTACTACTTTGTAAGTTTATATGATAGCCAGGCTAAGACAGAAGACCTACCGTAATGCGATGAGTACTGCAGTTATCCATAATCAGAATAGACCGCGGACCAGGGAATGGATTCATTTTCGGCAAAACGCATTCCTGAAGCCATTGTTTAAACATCTCTC